TTTTCCTTTTTCTTGTTTTCATTTTTATTTGTACATAATAATTATGCATAATAGTGGAATTATGCATCATTGTTACATATTCATACATACTCATAACACAATTTGGTCAATTTCATACCCCAATTCTTCCTTCTCCCCCGACCTCTGTCCCCTTCCTCTACTCTGGTCTCTCCTTTTAGTTTAGTTTTATCTTCCTGGCTTTGTTGCAGCCACTTACAAGCTGTGTGACCAAAGCTACCTAATCTACTTAAACTACTTGATCTCTGTTTCAGCTTGTCTCTCTGTAGAGTGGGCACAGTGGCAGTTCCTACCTTATCCAGGACTTGTGAGGATTAACTATGCTAATGTGTGTAAAGCACATGGGAAGAGCCAAAGGAGTGCCAGTTCCTATTTTGACTCTGCCCAGAACAGCAGTGTTCCCTGGCTCTGGACCTAGCAACACATCAATGCCCAAAGATAAGATGCAACTTCAAGCTATATGGGGAAATTTAGGAATAGAACTTAAAGAAGCAGATTCCTAATCTCAGAGCTGAGCAATTTGAACAAGTCAAAGTATTTCTTTGGTCCTTATTTTTATTTTTATAATAAGAGGGGTCTAGATGAGACTGATTCTTCCCATCCTAGAATCTAAGGTGTTTAGGAGCCAGAAGCTATGCTGAATGTTTCAGATCTAAAGAAAAGCATACAAACATTAGGAGCAATATACCTAATCATGCTAAAAAAATGTTAAGTTTCTCCACTTTTAGAGAGAATTATATTAACTCCATGTAGAAACACCATTTACTCAATAATGACTAGCAATTTTGATTGGCAGTTAATTATGTCTTACCAGAATTTTTTAAAAAAATGTAAAGCTAAACCACCTTTTTACTTGAAAGTGTTATTTTCCAAACAGGTAATTTTTTCCCCAAAATTTGTGATCCACAGAGAAGAAGATATTAAAAGGGGTCATTGATGGAACAACTGAGGATTGCAGGGGACAAGATGATCTCTAAAGTCCTTTTCAGCTCTAACGCTCAGGGGATTACTGAAAATTTCTCTAAGGCAATCAACTATAACAATTTATTTCACATTTAATTTTACTCTGGGGCCTCAAGGGGAAATTGTCTTGCTCTAAAGTTTCAGGGAAAAAAATTTAAAGATCCAAATGAGGGTTCTAAATGGAGGCAGCATTTAAAAACTGGAAATGCCAAAACGGAGATGAAAATTATTTTCATTTTGAAGAAGAAAATGACACCAACAATAAAAAAAAAAAATGGCCAAAGGATCTGAAGTAGAAATGGAATTGGCCCGATAGACCATGGGAACAATAATAGGCACCTCTCTTCCATTCTGAGTAAATTTGGATTTCCTGTGTACTCCCAGAGGGCTATGAATGATGGGTGGGCTGGCTCAGGTATGGTTAGCCTGTAGAAAATCAGAAACAAGTTTTCTCTGCTCTCAGAAAACACTCACTTTGTTGGGGATTAGGGGCAGATGTGGAAGCTATTCTCAATGAAATCACACTGGGATGCAAACCTGCCACAGCCCCTGGAAGCAGGAGGATGAGTAGGAATAGAGAAGCAAGCAGAAGAAACTCTTGCATTCTTTGGAGAACCTGGGGCTGGTGAAAAGAGCACAGCAATAAAATGCACCTGTAAAGTGCTGTGAAAGCAAAGGACTAAACAATGTGAGCTATTTTAGATGAGCCTTATGATAAACCTGTATGTTGGATGTTATTATTAGTCCCATCTTGCAGCCCTGTGGAACTGAACAAGGACCACCCAATGAGAAGAAGCAGAGGATATCTCTTTGGAGCTTCCTATGTTGAAGATGTCAGCTGCCAGCCCATGAATTTGTAGGAGACTCAAGGGCAAAGAGAGTGGAAAAGCTTTGTAGCAGTAAACACGGACGCCTTCAGGGAGGGTCTGATCAGACCCTGTCAGCATGGGGAAGCTACAGGAGGAGTAAGTAGAAGCAAGGTATCCTGTGTTATTGTTCAAGGGTGCATACTTGATTTTTCTCCACTTGGTCCTATGTTGGAAGCAGGGACAAAAATTAAAGTTGCCATCATTAATTAAATCCTATCTGTTTGGAACCTATTGTCACAGGGGTTATTGCTTAGCATCCTGGTTTATTACTAGAGATGGTGGTCTGACTTAGAGCAGGCTGCCTTCCTGCACTGGTTGCTCTAGAAAATGGGTTGGTTTTCTGGACTGGTTATGGCAGATTGGGAATCAGAGTTCTATTTGTAAATGGTCTAGCCGTGGCCCATTTATGTAGTCAGAATGTCAATTCTTCAATATGAGTCTGTACAAAACAAAGTTGGTCCAAATAATTACAATGTATAACCTCACAGCACTGGAGAGGGACTGGAAACAGTTCCTGAACTGTATCCAATATATCAAAATTCATAATAGAAATGATATATTCACCTGGGAAACGTAAACAGTGTAACAAAAACATCAACCATATCTTTCAAAAAGTAAGATTATCTTACTGCTTTTTCTGTCAACTGATTTGCTTTCATACTATGATTAATAAGTTAGGAAAATGATTTAATAAATAAATCATGGGTAGATAAAAGTTTTCAAAACCCAGGATACATCAAAGGGAAAAGTTTTCAAAGGGCTCTTTGGTAAAGAGTACTTGTGAAAGCTTCTTTACTCCCAAATCTAAGCATCTTCTCTTCCACAAATGGGTCCAGGGTTACAGGCAGGAACCAAGCCCAAGGGGGCAATCATAGATGTGCAAAGAGTGGCAAAGACAGTGTCCTCAAGTCTATAAAATACTAGGTGGAGACCCTGTGGCTCCTTTATATTTGGAGTCCTTCCTGGAAGCTCAAATATAAGCAACACATTTCAGATTAGAATGTGAGTGGTCAGAAAATGACCTGTATCTGAACCTGTATTGTCAAGTAGCCCAGAATTGCATCATTTGCTGAACATTATGATTAGACACTAAATAGTTATTGAATGGCAGGATCCAGGTGCCACTGACTGTCAGATAACTTTGAGGAGGAAAAAACTAATTTTTTCTACCTTCTAATAAATCCTCTTTTAATGGAAAGCATGATCCTACCATAGAGACAGGATTCTGAGATTTCAGGAAAGCTGGTGTTATCTACTCTCTTGCAGTTTATCAAGCTTTTTTATTTGGTTTGGTGGTTTTTTGTTTGTTTTTAGAAACACACCTGAGAAATCAGTAACCTTCCTCCTTGTCCTTACTGCCCTCCTCCATCTGGTAAAACCCATTCACACCCAAGGATGGCAGCAACTGCCAATTCTTCAGCATTGCAGTGTTGGGGATTGAACTCAAGACCTAGCACATGATAGGTAAGCACTTACTGCTGTGCTACATCCCCACCCTACAGGCTTAGCATGATTATTCACTTGCCTTTTGTCTCCATGGTTCTTTGTGCAGACTGTTAATTAGTACTTACACTGTGCGATCATAGCTTCTTTTTGATACAATGTTAATCTCCTTCCCTAGACTATGAATTTCTTTAAGGCAATTCTGTGTCTTATTTACCTGTTTCTTCATTGCATAGTGCACCTCACGTTTACCATTTCATTTAAAAGACATAAAAGCCCAGTGAGGAAAGTATGATTATTATAGGCAGATTGAGGAAACTAAAGGCTCCAAGGATCAATTATTTGCCCAAGGTGCTCAAGCTAAGAGTGGAGTGAGATTCAGTCCTAACTCAGCAGCTGAGGAGTTTTCATGACATCATTGCCTCCAATGAGCTCTAAATGCTATTTCACCCTGACGCTAAAAGCAGCTTCACAGTGTTCCAGATGAGTCTGTGTATGAACAGCTCATTTTGTGACACTGAGAGGCGTTGCTTGGAATTTGTTAAAAACACCAGCCCTGATGTTCATCTCGTAACCTTTGGTTACATGCAATTCTCTTCTTCTTCTTCTTCTTCTTCTTCTTCTTCTTCTTCTTCTTCTTTTAATTTTATTTTCTCCTCTCAAAAATCCTCAAGTCCATGTTTTCTAAACTTTCTTCAATGGTCCTATATTAATTCTTTTTTTTTTCACACGTCTATAAAATTTATGCAAGCCTATCAAAATCATCAGAGATGATGTTCACCAAAACAAATAATATTCCAATAGTATTGTAACATCAAAATTAAAGGTTATCTTGAGGCACTGATCTGAATTTACATTTTACAAAGTCTTTTCAGTATTTATATTCTTGTGGGAGCACTTGAAAATGGTGTCCAAAAGACAGTAACCTATATTAATTCTTAATGGGAAAAGAGGACGTGCATCTATGAAACAGGATCACAAGTGCAATTGATAGCAAGGGATAACAGTTCTTTGGCTGCAGCCTCCTCCACACTCAAAGGGTAAGGAATTTTTGTGTTTAATCCACAGTGTTTATCATGAAGGGCCTCTGCAGCTGGTACATATGAATATTCCACTCATTAGGAAAAATAACCCCTGGGAGTAAGGAATGTTTATTTCATCAGTCTTTGCCTTAGCCTTGCTGAAATAAACCCTTTGCTCTGACTTTATACCCTCAAAGCAACTTTCTAATTGTCATTTGTCAAAGCCCGAGTATTTTATTTGCAAGATATGTACAGTCTTCATTATAAATTAACAAACTGACATTCTGTTCTACACAGCAGAGGAAAACAAAACATGTAAAAAGCAAGCATCTAATATTTCTGACAGGTTTGCCCCTTAGGTCTTGTTTTCCCAACACTTTGAACTTCAATGCCCTGTCTCTCATCACCCAGCCTTGGTCTGTCCCAGGACCTCTGCACCTTTTGCCTCCCTGTGGACTTAGTGCAATGTCATCAGAAAGTCCTCCAAAGTTGGCAAGTTCTTATAGGAAAGCAAAAACAAGCAAACAAGACTGGCTTATATGCATTATTTTGTATAATATTTAATAAGAACTATTTCTACTTAGCTTTGCTACTAATCTGGATGTGACCATAATTCCTATACTTGCAAAGTCCTTAGCAAACAGAACAAATCATCTAAGGATATCAAGTGGTACCAGATACTCACATTTTCTGACCGGAGCCTCTTGGCAGGACACCCACCGTCCCTGGGGTGAAGCATGTAATACAGTCGGACTTTGCTTGCATGTTTTCGACTCTGGCAAGTAAAGGGAGAAAGAGATATTGTAAAAGAGAAGGAATTTTAAATTCTTTGAAACATAGCCAGTGACCACAAATGCAAAGAGGTACTTTCAGCAGAGAACACTTCGGCATGCTCTTGTGAGTTATGTAGGATATAGTTTCAGATAGATTAAGTGACTTGCCTGAAGTCGTAAAACAAATATAATTTCAGGATAACTAAAAACACACTAAGGAAGAAAGGTAAAAGCACTGAGATTGTTTAGCCTCTAGTGAATAATGTATTTAATTTTCTTCAAAAGTAAAACAGGTAAGCAGAGGAAAAATAACAAGGATTAATTGTAATGAAAAGAGGCAAGGGGATTTTCTCACTCACTCTGGCTGTCCTACCTTAAGGGATCAGGGCTGAGGCTTCCATGGGTGCCTGATAGGCACAACAATGCCCCCACCCCCAAAAGCCCTTTCTTCTGGTTCTCCCAAACCAGAGTCTTATCTCATTAACCAGCTATCAAGAATAACCCTGTGAGGCCTATCATGAGCAAATAAAAGATATTGTATGCATGTCTGGGAACTGATCAGAGCCCAAGATTCCTGGGAGCAAGCAGAAGCAGGTGAACAAATGAACACCCACCTCTCAGGGACTCATGGGATTGTGGATTTCTGGCTGTGCTAACTGGTCCAAGATTGTCATGGAGAAACTAATCCTTGCTCAGCTTCATCTTTCCTCTATTCCTTTGCTTAACTGAGAGCCCACCTTTCATCATTTTGAAGAACACTGCAGTTCTCACTTGCAAGTTCTCCCTGAGGCAGAATGGCAGAGTGAAATAGCAATAAAAAAGTACTCCAGAAGTTCAAATCCCACTTTCAGCTCTACCACTCTCTAGCTGTGTAATGCTGGACCAATCATTGACTGGAAAGTGTTTATAATCCAAAGAGACTTTTTCCAGGTACAAAGTGAATACAATAATACTTTTAGGGTTGCTATGAGAATCAAATCAGACAGTATATCTGAAAAATTGTGATTTGCATAATGCTAATCAATTCCAAACAGTGAATCCATTTCTAGCTAATTCCAATCCTCTTTCTCTTTTCTTTATGTTCTTCTTTTCAAGGTCTTTGTTCCACTTTGCCTTTATTTACACTTGAGTTCTATCCAATCTCTGGCATGATGGTTTACTTTTATGGATTAGCCACAAAGGCAGAGCGATTTTTAGAGAACACACAGCAAGTTGCATCTTGTTTACAGGATATATTGTAAATCCTTTGTGCCTGGCTTTCCTCATTCATCACTTTTTTTAATTCCTTTATTCTGCTTTAAGCAAGAAGGCTTCTCTAAACAGTCCCTGGACACTTTTAAGGCCTTTAAATGGGTTTAAAAGGGCTAATCGAATGAGAAGTTTTTAGAGATGTATAAAAGTACTAAAGTGTGATTTGAAATATGTTGTCAACACTTGTGGCCATTTCAACATTCCATAGTAGGTTGTAATCGAGATTATCTGGAGTCTTTCTTTTTTGCCTGAAAAAAAAATTGATAGGACAGAGAAATAAGATCTGTGTGGATGGATGTCAGAGGATTCAACATTATTTCTCATCTTCTGCAAGTTTTGAGTTTGACACAGTACAGACTAGCTTTAAAAAAAAACATGTTGATTATTAAGATTTGTATGATTTCTACCATTTTGTTGGGTTTTTTGGAGGTTGTAGCAATACTAGAAATGCTGCTGCATTCAAAAGAATGAAAAAAATAAAACATTTAAAAACCTGAAAAATGCTGAATATGGACACAGCCTGGGCTGGTGAAAAAGTGCACACAGATGGTAATTGGTGAAAAGATAAAGTGGTAAGTGTGTGAGCTCAAACGAAGTAGGTTTTCAATTTTGCGTCTGTTATCATTGAAAAACCTCTCATTGCAGTTCCTGTATCATCAATCTACTAAAAGCCCTGGATTTCTAGGGAACAAAATTATGGCAAAATGGGAAATCTCATAATGCAACCTATTTTGTGACTGGTATTTTTCGCTTTTCTAAAGTATTCCCTTTCTTTCCAAAAGACTTTCCAGCAATGGCAAAGTTCACACAGTTACTTAATTTCAGTTTTTAAAAAACTCGTAAAAGCCCATTAGCTGAAAAGAAAAGGCAAATAAATGGCATGTTCTTCTGTGAAGCCATTAGTGATGAGAGGTTGGGATGTGAGGCTTATAAGCAATTTCAATCACTTGGGGACTGTTTTACTCCTTTAGCTCCCCACCTCTGATGTTGGTGAAAGAAGGTCTAATCACAATACAGGTGGGAATCTTGCCTCAGGTTATAGATGAAGAGTGACAGAGCTTTGGCAAATACCTCCTGACTCTACAGTCATTAGAGTATCTCCTCTGCTTGGGCATCTTTTCCCCCCTCATTTCTTCCTCCAGGTTGCCTGAGCCAAATGCAATGCCTTCTCTGTCCAGAAGGGAACCCTGACTTCCAACAAGAAGAACAAATCCTGTGGATAGCCCACCACTCAGCGCTGAGAGTTAGAAGTCACCTTCCCAGGTAGACTAATCCCAATCTAAAGCTGCTTCCAAATTGTATTGATTGACAAAGGGAAAGAGATTCCCATCAGATTGTTCTTGAGCACACTCCAGCCTGGGGCTGTCAACGTGAACCTACAGCACTACTATTGAGTCTACTCCCTTCTTTTGGCATCACATTTTCCCTAGAAGAATCTCCAAGTCACTTCCAATGTCTGCCTCCAACTGGCTCTTCTCTACCCTTGTCTACCAGAAATTCCTTGAAATTTGGCACAATAATCTCACTTTCAATTCATTCTAAAAAAACAAACAAAAAATTCCCTACAAAAAAAAAAAAAAAGAAAGCCAAATTTAAATTGGAGCAAAGATGTTCACTGTAGCATTACCTAAACCTGAAGGGAAAAAAAAAAAACTTGGGGGACATCTGTGTGTGGAATAACAGACTTATTAAAGTGACCATAGAATGTCCTTATGGTAAGCAAAGAAATGGGGGAAAAAACACTTTCTACATAATAAATGTTAAAATGTTATACTCATACTGTGCATATATTATGATTATAATTATGTATAACTGTAAATATATCAATAAGAAGTGGAAAAGGAAAAGAAAAAAGATTTATTAGGTTAGAGGGAGTATGGTTTTCATATTTTATTTCTATAACAAATTTGCCTGTAATATAAGCATAATAATGATACCTTTACAATGCTCAAGTCATGATTATTTCCACATTAAGTACACTTTTTCTCACAATTATTATAATTACTAAAAAGCATCACTGATCTGGAATGTTTTTAATATGTACTGACATAATTGAGGACATTTCCATCTACGCTTGTTAATAGCTTATTAAAAATCAAAATGCATATTTTTCTCATTGCAATAGTTAGTATTAGATGAGCCTTCATAACCCAAGGGCAATATATTCAAATTCAACCTTTAAAACTGCAGTTTGGTACCTACAAATGCCACAGTAAATATCTGTGCTGTCACCATGTGGTCACTTTTGGCTTCTGTGTATGTACAGAGACACCAGGACACGGAAGCCACTGCTCTCCCAGAATACACCCAGAAAGGCTGGAAGAAGACATGCATTCAAAACTGGATCTGTGTCATTCAAACAGACAAGAAAAACAACAAATCCTTATTACTTTTTCACAGATTTATTAATACTTAAAATTTGCACTGCTTTCCAAAGTTCAAAAAGATAAACAAATTGTCACATAAAGAGAAATTTGAGGATAAAAAGTACCTCACATGTTAAATGTATGAATTACAAAGTTTCAAGAAAGAAAAAGGACCATTACTTTAAGGGAGAAGCATGAAAAAGAAATAACATTCTCTTCCAATTGCACAGAGAGTCGATCCCAGGCTCTTTCCTGCATTAATATTTGCATTTTAAGCAAAAGTCATTACTTTCACTCAAACCGCATCAACTTTAAGCTGCCCAGATAGGCCAGAAATTACCAACTCTTCCAGTTTAATTAAAGCCTTTGCCCCCATCCTAGGCATTGAACAGGGTCAGACCTATTTGAAGATTAGTTTCTTTTGTTGAAACAATCTCTTGGCACTCAAAGGAATTGTCTAAAGTAGAAATTCAGGCCAGCCTTCTCTTTGGGGGGATAAAGAACAAGACAAACCTCTATTTCAGATGTATTTCTGTGAAAGAAGGGGGCAAAACACATAAAAATAGAATGGCTTTGTGTTTCACCTAAATAACCATCTTCCATTATCACACATTCCTCAAAAAAAAAAAAAATTCGCAACTCAAATTTGCTTCCAACAAGGCTACTGATTTCTGGTATTATAAAATGTAGAGATAACAAAGCAAGTTTATATTTGCATAATGCTTCAAGCAGTCTTCAAAGTCCTTTCACATTTATCATCTCGTTTCATCCTCAAATCACAGTTGTGAGGCTGGCAGGAGAGGTGTTATCTCAAATAAGCTTTACGATCCATTGCTGATTTCCTAGATAAGTCTTCCACCATCTTATTTCATTATAGGCATCTAATTATACCTCTTCCAGAAACCAGCTAAAATAAGCCAAGGACTTCAAGAAAAAGGGAAAACCTGGAGCAGACTGATAATTGTAGAGGAGTGATTTTCACAGGCCACCACTTTGAGGTATTTCTACTTGTTCAGGGTAAAGAGGAGCCAATCAGAGAAAGGACAACAAGTACCAAGGGTTTAACTCACTGGGATGTCCACGGAGTGACTGCCTGTAGAGAAAAGAGGGGCTTCTTCTCATGGAATGGAAGGGGAGGATGTCCTGGCAGATCCCCTTTAAGATTCCATTATTGAAGGCTCTGGACATAAGCCCTGGAAAAGCTGCAGCACAGCTGTGTTATGAAGTCACAGTTAAATGCAGACAAACCAAAGAGAAAAATACATTTGTTAGATTCCCTCTAGTGAGGGGGAATCTTACCCTGGTGATGCATCGTCCATTATCATCACCAGAAGGATGCTGGGTGTATCCTACCATGTACCTACTAGGAAAGATAGGCTAATGAA